TACATCACTTAACAAATGTAAAAAATATTCTCTTATTTCTTGTTGAAAAAACAATTTTGAATGTTTTATATTCCATATTCCCCTCATGTGCAGAATTGTCATCTTTTAACGATGAAATGAAATGGAGGCCAGCACATTTCCGAAGCTCTATCTCGTCGGAAGTTTCATCATTTCGAGCCTTAACATCAACAATTATATGAAATAGAAAAGAAAAAAAAGAAAATAAATATAACAACAACTAGGATTTAATGGTACAAGATTTTACATTGGAGCCGATGAACCAAATCAAAGCTTTGATTCATGCACGTTCTTTAGGCTCGAGTGCCGCGATTTCTTTGACTACTTGTGCTTTATCAGCCTCAAACTGTTCATCCTCTGCAACAATTAGAACCCAGACTCATGATTAAGTAAATATGAGATATGTCGTGAACATTGAATAATCCTCACTCACCTTTCTCGGTTTTAAAATCAGCAAAGAGGCGTAATAGCTTGTTTCGGTTAGCGATGAGAATACTGACGATATCTGGGGGCTTGTTCTGATTAGCCGCAAATAGCTGCATATGTATATATTTGGATAGGCTCAGAGCAGAGTACAGAGTGCATAAAATGTTTCAGATGGATGCTCGAGTTGGGAAACTACAGTCGTACCTTAAAAACATGAAATGCTTCGATCTGAATACTCTTGCTCGATTCCTGGCGCAAGACAAAAGTTTCAACAGTTAAAGCATCATTTACAAATAAACACAACCACACATGTTATCATCTTAATTTTCTATTATTTTAACAGGAATGGAAAACATGGTAAATGAATCAGATATCTGAAGAAACGCTCATTTTCATTTTAGTTTTCTATTATTGTTTAATACAGTTTTCTAAATAATGACAAGACCATATTCCTTCATCAAGCTTTATTTCTTCTCATAATCTAACTTCTATCCATCGCACAAAAGGCAACAGGGAAATGGGGTTGAATCTTAAATCATCGTACCCGAAGAAGATTCATGAGGATCCTCAAGTTTTCCCTTGAGCAAACATATCGAGTCATCACAGCCGAATTTGAACGATCGAGCAAGATATCTCCCAACAACTAAAAGAAGTACATAACAGAATCAGAAGACACACTCCACACCACAGATGGAAAACAAGGTAGAAAAGATAGTACCAACAAAATAACTAATTCTGAAATTTTTCCATTAGTACAAATCTCAACCAATTGGATTTTTAGCTCGTAATTATCATATATCATGTTATAGGGCACCGTCCAGCATCCAGCGGTCCTCATGCATAGAGATAACGAAAAGGA